GTGCTTTTAAAATGCTAAGCTAACCTACATAGTAACATATCCAATGTTGATTACGAAATATTCTTCTACACTAAAATATTCTGAATAAAAATGTACGAGAGAGCCTGAAGCACTGAGGAAATGAAGGAAAAAAATGCCAGTTACGCAAGCCAGAAAGTCCCAGTAACACTCTGCTTGTTAGGCAATTCGGGCCTCACATACTAGACCAAGTATTGCTCTTCTGGCTATAAAGTCCGACATGTATATATTTCCAATGATGATTGCTTACAGCAATTATTCAACCCATCCTCTTGTTTAGATAGCACTTCTGGTAGATAGAATTTTGTACTATTCACTTTATAGTCCGAAAAAAATTAAGCTAAAATACAAACTTAAATATTTCTAGCCCTAGTCTAAGGACACTATCCGGTTCACAGGACCGAAGAGGACAATATCCGGTTTACGGGACCGATGACAATTTATCCGGACATCGGTTCAGCTTCGGAAGTTCATTTTTGTTTATCCAGTTATCAGCACATTTACTATTAGTATAAAATAGGCATTATCGAATATAAAAGTAAACTATCAATGCGATCTCCCAGTGTAACGGTAAACCACAGGTGTTGTGTACCTCCCGCACACACGCGCGGCGTCCGGGATTCCCTGTCGACGGAGGCAGGTTAGAGTCCCAGCGGAGCCCCTAAATAAATGGGCAGTTTTTCTCCACCTGATGCTTCTGTTCACCTAGTAGTGAATAGGTGCCTGGGAATTGGCTGCTGAGGGGTACATCTAGGAATGCGTGTACTAGCCTAGTACACGCATTGTACTACGCTAGTACAATGCGTACTAGTACTGACTAGTACTATTGTCATCTGTGCTGACTGGGGTTGAGCTTGGGCTCTTTGATCCCGCCTCTCAACTGTTGATCAACTGGTGTACAGCTTCCCGAGCCTACTGGGTTCTATCATATCTACATTTGAAACTGTGTAAGGAGTCAGCCTCCACCACATCACTTCCTAATGCGTTCCATTTGTCAACTACTGATAATAAAACATTTATTTCTAATGTGTCTGTGGCTCCCTTGAGTACTCGGTTTCCACCTGTGTCCCCTTGTGCAAGTTTTACCCATGTTAAAGAATGTCTTTATCTACCCCCTGTCAATATCCATGAGAATTCTCTGTGGTGGTGATGTATTCCCTAACTTCTTTTTTCCATTTTTTTTATCTTTATTTAAGAAAATACAATATAAATCATATATACATAAGTTTTACAAGGCAATACTACATTACATATACAGTAGTATAATTCTCAGTGAACAAGTGTTTCATTATCACAGAACATGATCTTTAAAACCCCTAAATGTTATACTTATTTTTCTTTTAAATGATTTACAAAATTGAAAATTAGTTACATTGACGTTAGGTTTAGTTCCAGTAATCTTTCCTCGTATCTCATACCCCTCTGCCTGGGTTCTAGTCTGGTGGCATAGTCTTCACAATACACTACTTGTTTCTTCATCTCATATGCCGTTTATCTAGTGGAAGCGAAATATGGATACAGTGCAAGGATTTCAGGTAATTTATCCATGGTAATAAGATAGGTTGCCATATCATACAGAGTGAGCTTAGATTTATCTCTAAATTGCTAACTGCCAGAGATACTTGTAGCCAAGTCTTATACGAGCTGTGACATCTGTTAGTCTACTGACTTTGTAACTTGCCCCCATACACATGTTTTACTTCACACATTTCATTGTGATGAACAATGGACCTGCTAGTTCCAGTTTGCACAGTTTTACTTCAAATCCATCCAGGAGTTCTCGTCTAATGACACTTTTAAGGGACCTATTTGATAACTCAAGATTCCGTTAAATACTGTCTTTATTTACTGCAGCCTTAGCAAGAGACAAGCTGAAAACAACACAGCACAGACCATATACACTGACAGATTACTCAACTGGACTGTGTTCAGCCCTCGTGCAGTTTGTCGACCCCAAACTCAATACCAAACTAGAGGTATTACCGCATGAAGGGAGATTGTTTCCAAATAGGTCCATTAGTGTTAGCGAGAAAGAGGCTTATGACGGAGACAAGGAGAGCGCTAATTGGCTGGCCAAGATGATACGAGGGAACACATTCGTCCCAACACCGCCAATATGCCGACTGGTAGTACGATTAAAGCTCGTATAGTGGCCCGTCCCGTCAGGCCTTTACAATTTCAGTAAACTTTCGTATCTAAATTGCCCGGCCCTAACCTAGCCTTGGACCCACTATCAGAAAACGACCAAAATTAAAGAAATCACGACAATATTCACTACTCGTTTTGGACTGCATTTTCTAAACTTTCAGAAAGCTTTTGACACAGTACCCTATAAAAGGCTGTTACAAAGGATGGAGAAACGGCAGGGGTAAAAGATAAGGTGCTCCAGTGGATAAGGGAATATCTAAGCAACAGGAAATAGTGAGTAACTGAGGGGGAGACATCAGAGTGGCGAGATATATTACCAGTGGAGTCCCACAGGGCTCTGTACTTGGACCCGTCCTGTTCCTAATATATGTAAACGATCTCCTAGAGGGTATAGACTCATTCCTCTCAATGTTTGCTGATGATGAAAAAAATTGAGAAGAATCGAGACAGATGAAGACAGAGACTACAGGACAAACTGGAGGAATAGTCTAGAAAATGGCTATTAAACTTTACACTTCCCTGAGTTAATGAAACTAGGCGAAGGGAGCAGAAGGCTGAACACACCATCTGGGAGGTGAAATCCTGCAAGAGTCAAATAGAGAGCTCTGGGGATTGATATCTCTCTGAACCTGTCCCCAGAGGCCCACATCAAAGGGATATAATCAGCGGCATATGCTAGATTGGCCAACATAAGAACTGTACTTGTGTAAGGAATCATCCAGAGCCCAGAGTATGCAACTCCAGCCTGGAGTACATACCCAGTTAAACAAGACAAAGTTAGAGAATATTCAGAAGTACGCCACCAGACTAGTCCCAGAACTGAGAGGTATGATTTACGAGGAAAGACTATGGGAGATAGACCTTACGTCCCTGGACGACAGAAGAGTAAAAGAAGATATGATCACCACCTACAACATTCTCAGGAGTTGACAGGATGGACAAAGGCAAATTGTTTAGCACGGGGTGGAACACAAACAAGGGGACAGGTGGAAACTTAATAATCAAATGAGCCACAGAGACAATAGAAATCATTTTTTTCAGTTAAATGGAATGCATTAGGCAGTGATGTGGTGGAGGCTGACTCCATACACAGTTTCAAATGTAGATATGATAGAGCCCAGTAGGCTCAGGAATCTGTACACCAGTTGATTGATAGTTGAGAGGCGGGACCAAAGAGCCAGAGCTAAACTCCCGCAAGCACAAATAGGTGAGTACGTACGTGTGTGTAGTCTTGGTGGCGGGAATCAATATGGGACGGAGCACCTGCTCTCTACTCTCTTTGCCCCCACCCCCCCTCTCTCTCTCTCTCTCTCTCTCTCTCTCTCTCTCTCTCTCTCTCTCTCTCTCTCTCTCTCTTGCTTCCTCTGCCCCCTCTCCTCCTCTCTCTCGCCTCCCCTGCTTCTTTCTACATCTCTCTCCCTATCCACTTCCTCTTTCCCCTCTCCTAACTTCCCTGTTCCTCTCCCCCCTCCCTTTGCCTGTCCCCCCTCCCTGTACCTCTCCCCCCTCCCTGTACCTCTTCCCCTTCCTATGCCTTCTCTCTTCCTCTCCCCCTGTTCTAGGGGAACACGGATGTCACCGACAAACTAACTACATGAACGAGACCAATATTAGGGATGCATTACCTGCTTTGACACTGTCCCCAAGACCTATCAACCTCTCTAGGGGTTATTAAGGCCACCTCTATTGTTTACTGACCAACCAGCATTGGTCCTGGATACAGGCCAGGACTAAATTCAACTCTCGGTGTGAACATAGAGAAGCAGAGGTACACTTCTCGCCGGATATACCCTTGTTGTTGCCTTACTACTGAAAGCCCAGTTTAAGATTAGTCGGAATGACGCACCAGCAGAGTACCAGGACCGGACAGTGTGGTTTTCGACGCACCAGCAGAGTACCAGGACCGGACAGTATGGTTTAGACGCACCAGCAGAGTACCAGGACCGGACAGTATGGTTTAGACGCACCAGCAGAGTACCAGGACCGGACAGTATGGTTTAGACGCACCAGCAGAGTACCAGGACCGGACAGTGTGATTTTCGACGCACCAGCAGAGTACCAGGACCGGACAGTATGGTTTAGACGCACCAGCAGAGTACCAGGACCGGACAGTATGGTTTAGACGCACCAGCAGAGTACCAGGACCGGACAGTATGGTTTAGACGCACCAGCAGAGTACCAGGACCGGACAGTGTGGTTTTCGACGCACCAGCAGAGTACCAGGACCGGACAGTGTGGTTTAGACGCACCAGCAGAGTACCAGGACCGGACAGTGTGGTTTTCGACGCACCAGCAGAGTACCAGGACCGGACAGTATGGTTTAGACGCACCAGCAGAGTACCAGGACCGGACAGTATGGTTTAGACGCCCCAGCAGAGTGCCAGGACCGGACAGTATGGTTTAGACGCCCCAGCAGAGTACCAGGACCGGACAGTATGGTTTAGACGCACCAGCAGAGTACCAGGACCGGACAGTATGGTTTAGACGCCCCAGCAGAGTACCAGGACCGGACAGTATGGTTTAGACGCACCAGCAGAGTACCAGGACCGGACAGTATGGTTTAGATGCACTTGTATTAGTTTTGGGGGGAAGGATGTGGTTAAAGGTGTACCTCCAAGCACTTCCTGCAGGCAAACACCTGCCTGTGGATGAAACTACCGTAATGACTCTAGGTTAAAGTCAACTCTGTGATCAATGGTTGACGAAAAATTAAACTCCATGAAGATAAATTTGAACAGTGTTAATGTTGCTTGATGAACTCTCATTAATAAAGATCCCAGATGAACCCAGAAACGAATACAAGGGCATAGGAGCTGAAACTCGACATAATACAATCAAATCTGTGTCGGCGATGCAGCGTCGGGTATCGGCGATGCAGCGTCGGGTATCGGCGATGCAGCGTCGGGTATCGGCGATGCAGCGTCGGGTATCGGCGATGCAGCGTCGGGTATCGGCGATGCAGCGTCGCGTATCGGCGATGCAGTGTCGGGAATCAATACTCTGGCAGCCTCCAGCCTGCAGCACCGCTCAGGAGAGGCAGGACGTCGCTCGATGCTGCCTGCCCTCGTAACCTGGACTGGTTGCAGGTGGCGGCAGGACCTAAGGTTTAGTCCTCTATGCCCATAGGCACTATTAAGGAAACACGCATGTACACAATTTAACGCACGTGTACACCACCTCAAACATTGAAAGAGTGTGCAGGAGCACTTTGCTTGCCACTCTCCATAGTGTGTAGTAGGTCACTGGAGACGGGAGACCTACCAGAAATATAGAAGACAGCTAATGTGGTGCCACTATACAAAAAAGGGTGACAGACAAGAGGCACTGAACTACAGGCCAGTGTCCTTAACTTGTATACCATGCAAGGTGATGGAGAAGATTGTGAGAAAAAAACCTAGTAACACATCTGGAGAGAAGGAACTTCGTGCCAACCCATCAACATGGGTTCAGGGAGGGTAAATCTTGCCTTACAGGCTTAATAGAATTCTATGATCAGGAGACAAAGATTAAGCAAGAAAGAGAAGGATGGGCGGACTGCATTTTTTGGACTGTCGGAAAGCCTTTGACACAGTCCCCCATAAAAGGCTGATGCATAAGCTGGTGAAACAGGTAGGAGTAACTGGTAGGGCGCTCCAGTGGATAAGGGAGTACCTAAGCAATAGGAAGCAGAGTTAATGCGAGGGGAGAGACCTCAGATTGCGTGGAGTCGAAAGCGGAATCCCACAGGGTTCTGTACTCGGACCTATTCTGTTTCTGATATACATAAATGATCTTCCAAAGGGTTATCTTGAGATGATTTCGGAGCTTTAGTGTCCCCGCGGCCCGTTTCTCGACCAGGCCTCCACCCCCAGGCAGCCCGTGACAGCTGACTAACACCCAGGTACCTATTTTACTGCTAGGTAACAGGGGCATAGGGTGAAAGAAACTCTGCCCATAGTTTCTCGCCGGCGCCTGGGATCGAACCCAGGACCACAGGATCATAAGTCCAGCGTGCTGTCCGCTCGGCCGACCGGCTCCCCCGGTAAAGGGTAAAGACTCCTTCCTCTCAATGTTTGCTGATGATGATAAAAATTATGAGGAGGATTAAGACAGAGTAGGACAGCACGAGACTTCATGAAGACCTGGACAAACTGAAAGAATGGTCCAACAAAGAATGGTCCAACAAAGAATGGTCCAACAAAGAATGGTCCAACAAAGAATGGTCCAACAAAGAATGGTCCAACAAAGAATGGTCCAACAAAGAATGGTCCAACAAAGAATGGTCCAACAAAGAATGGTCCAACAAAGAATGGTCCAACAAAGAATGGTCCAACAAATGGTTACCCAAACAAATATACAAACAAACAAATGTAATGTCATGAAGATAGGTGTAGGGAGCAGGAGGCCAGATACAAGGTATCATTTGCGAGATGAAATTCTTCTAGAATCAGAGATAGACAGACAGACTTGGGGGAGTGAATATCACACGAGACCTGTGGCCCGAAGCACACATCAAGAGTATAACATCAGTGGCATTCTTTACACAAGAAACTTGTGTAAGGAATTATTTAGAACCTTGTATACCATGTATGTCAGACCATGCTGGAGCTGCATACTCCAGGATTGGAGTTCATATCTCGTCAAGCATAAAACTAAATTGGAGAAGGTTCAGAGGTTTGCCACCAGACTAGTACCCAAACTGAGGGGCATGAACTATGAGGAGAGACTACAGGAATTTAACCTCACGTCGCTGTAAGACAGGAGAGTTAGGACATGATCACCACATAAGATTCTTAAAGGAATTGATAGGGTAGACAATAGTATATTTAACACAATGGGTACACACACACACACTAGGGGACACAGGTGGAAATTAAGTGCCCAAATGAGCCATAAAGACATTATATTTTTTTTTAGTGTCAGAGTAGTTAATAAATGGAATGCATTAGGAAGTGATGTGGTGGAAGCAGATTTCATACACAGTTTCAAGTGTAGATATGATAGAGTCCAGTAGGCTCAGGAATCTGTATACCTGTTGATTGACAGTTGAAAGGCGGGACCAGAGAGCCGAATCTCAACCCCCGCATTAGAAGTAACAGAGCTAGGAACGATTACATTAACATAAGAGTATCGGAGAGAAATTATGAGAACGATATTGCGATCAAAGCAACCTAAATTACTCTTTTGCGTAGAGCAAAAGGGCAAATGCTGGCTTGATCCTGATTTTCAGTACGAATACGGACTGCGAAAGCAAGGCCTATCGATCCTTTTGACTTTAGGAGTTTTAAGCAAGAGGTGTCAGAAAATTTTCTGACACCTCTTTTTCAGTACGAATACGGACTGCGAAAGCAGTCCGTATTCGTTAAATTTTCTGACACGTCTTGCTTAAAACTCCTAAAGTCAAAAGGATCGATAGGCCTTGCTTTCGCAGTCCGTATTCGTACTGAAAATCAGGATCAGTCAAAAAGCCTACATAGGCATGTAAGAAGAAAAATGTCGGTGAACGACCAAGTGACAAGACTAAGGAAGACAGAGGGGGCATATACAGAAAGTGACAAGGAAATCTGCGAGGTACTGAATGCTAGTTTCCATGGAGTGTTCACTACCGAGCCTGAGTGGCTCCCATTGTTAGAAGAGATTGCCCTAGATGAAAGACTATCAGATATAGAGGTGACAGCAGAGGAGGTAATGAAACAGTTGACAACACTGGATGCAACTAAAGCAGTTGGACCAGACAAAGTATCATCGTGGATACTAAAAGAGGCAGCTCATGCCCTCAGCGTGCCTCTGGCAAGGATCTTTAATGAACCACTTATGTCAGAAGAATTATCCAGCTGCTGGAGGAAGGCAAATGTCTTAAAAATTTTCAAGAATGGGGATAGGGAACAGGCATTTAACTACAGACCCATATCACTGACAAGCATCCCCCTGCAAAATGCTTGAAAGAATAATTACGGTAAGACTTGTTGTACACCTAGAGAACATTAGGTTTGTAAACAAACAACATGGGTTCTGGAAAGGAAAATCTTGCCTAACTAACCTTTAGGAATTTTATGATAAAATAACGAGAATAAGGCTGGACAGAGAAGGATGGGCAGACTGCATATTTCTGGACTGCCAAAAAGCCTTTTGATACAGTACCGCACATGAGACTGCTATTCAAACTTGAGAGGCAGGCAGGAGTAAGCGGAAAGGCCCCTAGCATGGGTAAGGAACTACCTAACAGGAAGGAACCAGAGAGAAATGTTAAGGGGCGAGAAATTGGGCTGGTGAACAGTATCGAGTGGAGTACCTCAAGAATCAGTGCTGGGACCAGTTCTATTTCTAATATACATTAATGACCTTTTTACTGGAGTAGAATCCTACATGTCGATGTTCGCAGATGACGCAAAATTATTGAGAAGAGTTGTGACAGATGAGGATTGTAGGATCCTCCAATAGGACTTGGACAGGTCGCAGAGAAGGTTAGAGAAATGGCTACTGGAGTTCAACATGAGCAAATGTAAAGTTATGGAAATGGGATTAGGTGATAGGAGACCAAAGGGACAGTACACAATGAAAGTGAACTGCCTACCTGTGACGATTCGAGAAAGATATCTGGGAGTGGATGTGACACCTAATCTAACTCCTGAGGCACACACAAATAGGATAACGACAGCAGCGTACTCTACACTGGCGAAAGTTAGAACATCATTCAGAAACCTAAGTAAGGAGGCATTTAGGGCGCTTTACACCGCCTACGTGAGACCAGTCTTGGAGTATGCCGCGCCATCATGGAGTCCCCACTTGAAACACATAAGGAAACTGGAAAAGGTTCAGAAGCTTGCGATGAGGCTCGTCCTAGAGTTATAAGGAATGGGATTTGAAGAGCGCCTGAAGGAACTGAGCCTTACGACACAAGAAAAAAGGAGGGAGAGGGGGGGGGATATGATAGGAACATAAAATACACAGGGGGGATTGACAGAGTGGAAATAGACGAAATATTCACACGGAATACTAACAGAACGAGGGGACATGGGTGAAAGCTGGAAACTCGGATGAGTCAGAGATATTAGGAAGTTTTCTTTTAGCGTGAGAGTAGTGGAAAAATGGAATGCACTTAAGGAGCAGGTTATGGAAGCAAGTTCTATTCATAGTTTTAAAACTAGATATGATAGGGAAATAGGACCGGAGTCATTGCTGTAAACAACCGATGGGTAGAAAGGCGGGATCCAAGAGTCGATGCTCGATCCTGCAGACACAAATAGGCGAGTGTGTACACACTCTGAACATTCCACCACAGGGAAGAAGGCGAGGGTCTCATAAAGACTCCTCAGAGGTTACGTAACAAGAGATGAAAGTGTAATAACAGCCAGACCTTAGATATAACTGTGGGAGGCGGAACAAGGCGAGATAACACATATCGCTGGTGATAACACTTGAGTACATGTACTGAGAGCACAATAGATCATACACCGAGTGAAATAAACCACCAAGACCCCTCTAAATATAACAATGTTACTGTATAATTCAATTCAACATTTGGTGATAAAAGTAATTTTAGGTTTAAGAACGTGTCGTCGTGTCCGGCGACCCCGTGTGGACGACGGAGGTTTGTTGTTGTTAAAGATTCGCTACCTGAAACAAAGTTCCAAGTAGCACGGGCTATGGTGAGCCCGTAACGACGGAGGTAGTGAGGGCGCCATTGGAGAGGGCTGGGAGCGGGACAGAAATGGTTGGGCGCATTTCGTATCACCTAATTCACTGTTCACCTAGCAGTAAGTAGGCACTCAGGGAGTGAGCTTATTGTGGGGTTACATCCTGGGCGGGGTCAGTAATTCGACCTCGGAGGAACCTCGATATAAGCCTATCGTGTTGAATACACACTGTCTGCCTGTCCCCCGACAAAATGAATTATTATTAAAATGAGAAATAATGCCAGATTGGAGCATGGGAGGAAGTTGCAGATGGTGATTGGAGCACAGAAGGAAGTCGTAGGTAGCAATTGGGGCATAGGAGGAAATTGCAGACGGCGATTTGCGCAGTGTAAGGGTTAGTGTGTCACACATTGCTCACACGCACTCCGGTTATCGCTAAATGCTCCGGCTGACTATGAAGTTTGAGAGTCGCAGTAATTCCCTGTAAATCTCTGGCTTCGGGAATTTGGTATA